AGAGAGATGCTCCAGTCTCCTAATCTTCCTTGTAGCCCTCTGCTGGACCCTCTTCCTTGTCTTCCTTGAACTCAGGAGCCCAGAACTGGACACAGCACCCCAGATGGGGTCTCACCAGGGCAGACTGGTGGGAGAGAATCACCCCTGTTCTTTAAAACAGCCCAAGTCACTTCAATGACCAACCTCTGCAGGACTCTAGCTGTTCCTGGAGTTCCATGGTCCAGCAGAGCTTACACTGCCACTGTTATGAGCTTAACAGCTGCCCTTATTTTTAAAAGATTGTAGAGTTCACAGGTTGGGCCAGTTGCTGCTGCCAGGGTGGAGTTCTGTTTGCTATTGTAACCACCTGCCGTTTTCGTTAACTACCTGTCCTTGATGGTTAAGAATTCCCCGTTTGTCAAGTGACACCCTGCTGCTTCCTGAAGGATGGCACCCAGACGTGAAAGGAAAGGGACATCAAGTTAGCATGGAAATGACATCGGATCCAGCATGCAATGGGAGAGACCCCTCATCAAACCTAGCCAAAAACCCTTAAAACAACGAGCCAACACAAAATTGACGAATCAAAGTGATGTCCAGATGTGAGGAACAGAATCTAGTATCCACCAAGACCCTTTTTACTCTTCACCCTAACCTAAAGATGTCAGCTAGGCATCAAATGTTGAACCAAAACCCAGAGAATTTCCCAATGCTCCTGTTAAGACAGAACCCCCAGCTCTGCCCACAGACCAGTGGACACAGCCGCACTCTTCCTTCTTCTCCGAGTCACTCCTGGGAGCAGCAGCCGAGTGAGCATGGACCCATTGGTTGTCCCCACCCACGCTGATCACTGTTAATAAAGGCATTAAAAAGGAGAAAGGGCTCCTGCTCGTGTTTACTTCAGCCCCTAGGAAGATTGCTCCATGGCTTTGCCACAAAAGCCAGTTCTGTAGGGTGTAATCTCTGACTCCTCTCTGTCTTTCCAGTTGTGTTCACTTGCATGTTCTTTGCTTCCTAGGAGGGAAAAGGATTGCTAGGCTAGGAAAATGTCAAGAGAGCAAAAGTTTGGTGTATCAACTGATGATTTAGAGATCAGAGCCCTGCTCTGGAGATGAAATGAAATAAAATATAGATTGGTTTCTGTTGGCATCCTTTTTATAGACCTCCTCCTACAGCATCTTGACAGTACAGTTGGGGTTTCAGTGGAATGGTCTCATAAAATAGCAAAGCTGACAGGACACTAGACTGTGGAAAATATTTGTAATAAATACTAATGACCACTTGGGCTGTGAAAGATTCTGCATTTGACACTTACAAAACTCTTTACACACTCTTAGAAGTTACTGCAATTGTTATTTATGTCTCCAAACACTTCTTGAAGAAGACACAACCAAAAAAAGGGGGGAGTCTACTGAGAAAACTTAATGTTTGAGTGGTCTTCAATGAATTTTTTCTACCAGCAAAGAAGCAGTATCTGAAAGAGAGGTCTGTGCTTAGAGGAGGACAGATCAGAAAACCACAGAATTAATTAGCTTGGAGAGCCCCTCTCACACCACTGAGTTCAGCCTCTGATGACCACCCTGCCAGCTACACCACGGGGCACAGCCAGCCTGTCCTTCAACACCTCCAGGGACAGGGACTCCACCACCTCCCTGGGTGATCCAATCCAATGTCTAATCACCCTTTCTGTGAAGAAATTCTTCCTAATGTCCAACTGAAACCTCTCCAGGCACAGCTTAAGCCCATGCCCTTTCATCCTGTCCTTCCTTGCTTGGGAAAAGAGGCAGACCCACCCTGGCTACAGCCTCCTTCCAGGCAGCTGCAGAGGAGGTAGAGGAGGGGTGAAGACATCAAGGTGTGGAGTACAGGGCTTGCTGACCTCCATGAGTTATAATTCCTTGGCTGGAAGGGTTTCTCACTTACAACAACTACTGGTGACAGTGCAGAAAAGGCATTAAAATTTCTCTTCATTATGTACAGGACCAGATATTGGGGTGACTGAAGCGTTTGAATGAGAAACTGGATTACAAAGAAGACCCTGTTTTAAGGAACACCAAACACTAAAAAAATATGGGAAGCAGAATTGTCATCTATGCTGTGTGCATTAGTAAGATTTCATCTTGAGGACAGTCCCAAGTTGACAAAAATGGGAAGGGAGCTCATATCAACAAATGTGAGGTCATTATTAAGTCCTTGATGGTTTTAATAGGAAGGATTTGTTTTTCTTACTGGAAAACTACAAAGAGACTCAGCTTCCTAATGCACAGCTCATACCAGTTCATACTTGGGCAACAAGCAGGTGACACTTGTAAGAGCTGAACTTCTCCTGTCCCCTGCAAGGGAGAAGGCTGGAAACATAGAACACATGTCCAGAATACTGGCTCCTGGTGTGACACTGTGCTTCATTTGCTGTCTCATCCCATAGAGAGCCAGCCACTTGTTCATGAATCTCTGCTTGCTAAAGTTATTCCATTAAGTGTTCATAACCTTCTGATAGAGTTATAGAATAGTTTGTGTTGGAAGGAACCTTTCCACCAGTCTGGGCAACCAGTGCCAGTGTCTCACCATCTTCCTCACAAAAAATTTCTTTCTTATATCTAATCTAAGTAGACCCTCTTTTAGTTTAACCCCATTGTCCTATCAACAAGCCCTACTAAAAAGACTGTCCCCATCTTCAGCCACCCCATTTGTCTTTGCTGTACAGTTAGTTAGCGTGAGCCCTCATTGCAAACAAAGTGACTAAAAATAAATGTTTAAATTTTATGGATTTGAAGATTGTAACCAATTTTATGAGTGCTTGGGGCTTACAGCATTGTGCTGTGGTAAGAAAAAATATATTAAAATTTTCTTATCAGTAATTTCCACAAAGCTGTGCAACAGAGCAGGTGAGGTTTGCACCTAGAGCTTTGCCCTGACTAACCTGCCTTTGTATCTTGAAGTTTCCTCTGCAGTCTTGTCTGTCTGTCTCAGGCTACCTGATAATTCTGCTTCTCCAAGGGGAGCCAAATGCACTTCCTCTACCAGCTATAGCCTGGAGGGACACACTATCAACAGCAGGAAGCTGTGGGGATGACAACCAGAAAGAGAAGCACTAATGAATAAATGGGAGTGTTGGCAAGGCAGTCTGAAACACTGCTGCCAGCTGGGAGAAAGGGATGGCTGGCTTTGCCCAGCTAGAAGAGACAAAATGCTTGAGAGGACCAAGCATTTTACAGGACCACCTCAAACTCATTACATTGGGATCAGTTTGTGCTAACACAACATTAGCAGAGACTGAAGAGTCCTCCATGATAGAGCAGCAGCAGCAGCTTCAGTTCCTGCAACTCCTCCAACAACACAATTAACAGAGGGAGCAGACCCAGCAAGATCCTCTTCCAAAACCACTGGCATTACAGATGCTACTCCATTTGCCTTAGAAATGTCTCAAGTGCAAGGTGATTTGGAGCAAGAGTTTTAGGAGTGTTGCTCAGATAACATTAAAGTGTTACAGCAGGCCCTGATTTAGGCATAGATTGATAAAAGGGACTTAAGTCTCCTCTTTACCTTCTGGAGCCAAAAGCAGCACCAGGACCCAAGGTCTGGATAGAACTGCCCCTGCAGAGAGTCACTCTACTGAAAGAAAAGGTATTTCAAAACCAATGTCAAATTATTTGTATTTCCTGGGTTTAGGAGCTCATCTTGGAGGAGACAGTCAAAATTACTCCTGCTGCCAGCTGCAAGTGAGCATGAGTGTGTTTGGTCACGTGTAAGAAAAAGGAGCCAGTTGACAGGAGTTCCAGCACTGACAAGTCCTGGTTCATGCACCTCCTCAGGCTGGAACAAGGAGCCCATTTTTGCCCTGCTGCGCTGGCCATCTGCAGCACGGGCTCAAATGATCTTTACAGGCAGATTTGTGTGCAGGAAGAGAGTAAACAGCAGTTTGCCTAAACACAGGCATAATTATTCCAGCCACTCAAGGTTCTTTTGAGTTTTCTTCTCCAGCAGTTATTTCTACCCACAGTTTCCATAACTTTGGAGAGAAATCTGTTTGGTTTGCCCAGCTTCATTTGTAAAGAGAAAAATACAGAAAAAGCCACACAAGCAACCCTGAAAAGCAGCAAAAGACATCTGAGCAAACTTCTGAAAGGTAACTCCAGAGTCAGTGATGAATTTGCATCTAAAATGGATATTGGAAACATTCCTTTTACAAAGTACTTGCAGTGACTTGGAGTACAACTTGTGCCATAATTTAAAGAGTTTCACAGAAGCAGCAATATAAGGTGATGCAAACAAAGTTACACATAGTGGAGAAATCACAAGTATACAAATGCGTGGTAATAATCAAACACTTGGTTTAAAAACTAAAAAGAAGAAATACTTTGGTCTTAAGTACTTCAGTACCTGAACTCTTCAGAAAGCCTTTTATCAAAAAAATAATATTTTTTTGTACCATGTCAAGTATTAAGTGTTATTAGAGTAAATTATGATTTATTGATGGAAAAGTTAAAACAAAATGGAACATATCCAAGGATGGAAAGTGTTTTTCTCAGGGTTATTCCGTTTTGAAATAAAATAAAGAGGCTGAGATAATTTTAGGATTTCTCTCATAGAGTAGGAAGTACGTTTAAATTCTTTTAATTTTGCCTGGAAATTCAAGTTTGGATCTACATCTCCACTTAATGCATCCAGGAGGGAGGGAGAAGGGGGAAAAAAATCACGTAGCAAACTTAGAACTGAGCCGAACACTTAATCTCCCCTTTGTTAAACCATCCAGAACCTGGGCTGCAGCCCCCTGCCCATGGGGCAGAACGCCCCGGCCGCTGCAAGGGCCGCGCTCGTATTTCACCACCAGCAGCCCTGGTGAAGCCATTGCTGATTTACCGTCCCGTCCGCGCTGCTCACCTCACAAGTGCCCCCGAGGAGCGAGAGGAGGCAAACATGGAGTATTTGTCCTTTCCCCGGGCAAGATCCGACATCCCCCGCCCGCCCTGTCCCGTCCTGCCGTCACCCGGCCGGGATCGGGGCCGCCGGGCTGCCCTTACCTGCGCCGCGCCCTCGCTCGCAGCCCCTTCTCCGTCTTCCTTCTTTCCTTCTTTCCTGCCTTCCTTGCCCCTCCCGGGGGTCTCGCTGCCGGCCCGGGCAGTGCCGGGGCAGGACCCTCCGGCTGCGGGCCCGGGATGCGCCGCGGCCGCTCCAGATGTTGGCGCCGCCGCCGCTCCAGATGTTCCCCCGGCGGCCCCGCGGGGGGCGGGCGCTCTGCTCCCCGCCCGGCCGGGAAGGAGCCAGGGCAGAGCCAGAGGAAAGGGGAGAGGGGAAAGCGAGGGGAAAGCAAAGGGGAAAGCGAGGATTCCGCGGGATCCGGCGCTGCCCTCCCCCTCTCCTGCCCCGCTTTCCAGGAAAAGCGGCCGGGAGCCGGCAGGGCTGGCGGCCGGGGACAGCGGCTCCAAATAGCCCGGCAGGAGAGGAAAAATAGAAAAAGTAGAGACTCTTTGAGACGTACAAACCTTCCTTTGATCGCTGCATATAACAGAGGCCTTTTTTTTTAATTTACACACACACCGACAGCCGTGGCTTTCTCCACGAAAATGAGCACCCGTGGCTGTAATTCCTGTAATTTAGTAGGAATTTATGGTTACAGCCCTGAATCCAAAAGAAGAATGTCTAAAAATAAAATTGAAAGAACGAAACCACGGCTTTATTCGCAGATGCCATCCTGTAGTAAACCACGTCAGTGACATTAGAGAATCGTTCACAGTGGAACGAAGGGCGTCTCACACTGCATCACCTCTCTTACAGCACCAGCAGAGAACACCAATGGAGCCTCAAACGTTTCATTGTGCAAAAATCCTCCTTTCAGGTATTCGCCAGGAAGTTGTGATAATCGGGTTTTGAAGCTCTGTTTAGGCTATGCCAGAAGACTCCCTTGACCCTTTTCCACCCCTGTCAGCATCAAGATCTTGTGTCACCAGATCCCCCTGTGGCTGCAGGAATAATCAAGCAGACGCGCTGCTCTCCCTACCAATAAATCACAACTTGGACTGAATTCTGAGACACCCCTCTCGAGTGCCCTAATTTAAGATTTCTACTTTCATGATCCAGAAGCTTTTTTGTGGAAATTTGTGGGAGAAATCAACAACTTATAAGGAGTAAAACTTTTTCACACTCACTTATCTTCTCACACAGCCGCAACCATGCCTGCTCTTTAGCACAAAATGACACTTTCACTCTTAAATTAATAATACTCCAGCAAATACCCCTCAGCATCTGGCAGGCAGATGTCTTTGCAGGTTGGATGATGTAATGAGTACAGAGAAAAGGGCAATAATATTTCTCAGAAGGACCTGTAAACAATGCTTCAGAAATCCAGCCTCTATGAAAGCTGCTTTCTGATCTGAGTGACTTTTTCTGCATATTTTTCCAGACATTAGAATGCATTTTACATCACAACATTAATCCCTACCTAATGGATATCCTTCTCTTGCAGGAGAGTTTTCAGTTAGAATGAGTTTAATCATGCAGTAATAGTGATAATTGTAATAACCTCTTCTTCTATTTACCACTGGTTTGATGCTTGTCTTGGCAGTGGAGCAACAATCACTTCCTGGGATTCCTCATTTCCATCCACACTTAAAATTACTTAAAAGTCATTCTAAGTGACAACCAATGTTGCCAATGTAAAAAACTCCATCTAGCATCCCCAGGGCCCTGCAGGGATCCTGCACTTCTGGGAGTCAGTGTGTATCCAAGTAATCACAGAGAAGTGCATGCATAAAATATTCTACAAAGCTGCTGGAGACTATGGAAATAACAAAATATCTTTTGCAATGTTTTTACCTAAGGTCAGCAGAAGGCCAACAGTTCTGCCACTTTTAGTCAAGTTCAGACCTTCCTTCATTTTGACCTTTCTCTGTTTACCTTATTCCAAAGTTAGGAAATTAATTCAACACTCCTCTTGCAAACTTAGGATCCATACTTGACACACAGACAGGGAATTGAGCTCTTCTCTTTCTGGAGGAACAGAGCATCCAAACAGAGCATTTGTTTGGTTGTTCCCTGCTGATACTGAGCATTGCATCAGAAGCAAGGAGCTAAAATGTTATTTCATAGCAAAGCCTAATTGATGTGAGATGAATTTGCAAATAGTGCTTGATCCACTTTCCACAGGGGTTAGCCTAATGAAACATCACATGGTCAAATGCCTGTGGCTCCAAGACCCACAGGTCAATTACACTGCACTTAGTGTGGTGCCCAGTGCTTTTACTTCATCAGAGTTATCACAAATACCAGGCACTAACATCAGCCATGTAGTCACCCATCTATGCCCTGATCCAAATAATTCATGAGCACATTACAGACAAATTAGAACTGTAGATGTTTTAGGATTATTGTAACATCTGCATTTTGGCCCAGAGGGCAAGACAGCACCTGGGGGCAGGTGAGATGTTTTCAGCCTGGGCACTTGAGAGAACTCTACAAATCCAGACTTATTTCTGGGTGAAAACTGAAGAGAAATGTTGATCATGTTCCCCTAACACTTGGAATCCAAGGATTGTTTTGGCTGATTGCAGTTATCTTTGTAGCACCACACCTAATTTATGGCTGAGGGAGTGAAGGCCTCCCACCATATAAGTTAAAAGCAGATTCAGGACCATCTGATGAAGGTGAAGAGACATGAGTGTCTGGGTGGTCAGATGCATCCCAGAGGCCTGAGGAGACTGGCTGATGTTGTTGCTAAGCCACTTTCCTTCATATTTGAAAAGTCACAGCGGTCAGGCAAAGTCCCCAGTGACTGGAAAAAAAGGGAAACATTGCTCTCATTTTCCAAAAGGGAAGAAAGGAAGATATGAGGAATTCTTTACTCAGAATTCTTTACTGTGAGAGTGCTGAGGCCCTGGCACAGGTTGCCCAGAGAAGCTGTGGCTGCCCCATCCCTGGAAGTGTTCAAGGCCAGGCTGGATGGGACCCTGAGCAACCTGGTCTAGCCAAAGGTGTCCCTGCCCAAGGCAGGGGGGTTGGAGCTTGATGGTTTGTAAGGTTCCTTCCAACCCAATCCATTCTATGGCTTTATGAAATGTACCATAGGAGTGTGGCTGATAAAATAATCTCTCTCTGGATAGAGTGCCCAGAAAGCCAAACAAATAATTCTGGCCTTGCAAAGTTCATGCAACAACTGAATAAAGAGAAATCCATGCACTTGCTATGACTTCAGAAAAAACACAAATATTGACATTCTGGTTTTAATACAACTTGTAACACCAAAATAAATAAAAAGTGAATTTGAATACAAAGATCCACATTACCAAAGTCCATTCTCTGGAGTGCTATTAGGGATATTTGCTCTTGCATGGATTTTGAAAGTACAGGTTTAAATCTGCAAAGTTTAAAAATGCTTCCAGGCTTAACCCTATCATCTGGGGGGGGGGGGGTGGAGAAGAAAAGTAGTTAAATCATACATGGAATTTTAAAGTTTTTTAATGTTGATAGTTACTAGCTATATTTATGTTGTCTGCTTTTTGGCTTTTTAGGAGTAACCTATAAGACCTTTGTAAGAAACTTTCAAAAGGAATACTTTTTCTGAGTTTTTATCCTATCCATGCAATGTATCAAGCTGATTTCTAGCATATAATAATGTATCCCCCTTATGAAAGTCTTTCATCTAGAACAACATGCAAAACCAGTCATGGTGATAAAAAAAAGTCAGCTTAACACTATCTGCATGAACAGAGGAACTTCAGGAGAATTTCCTGAAACAATCTGTAATTCACAGGTAATTGGCTATGGTTCAAGTTGCTCAGAGTCCTTTGAACTAGTCCAGCAATTTGGCACGGAGAATCTAGAGTAATAAAGCCAGAAATGCCAGGGGTAGTAACAGTAAAAACTTTCTCCCCAGACATTCCTATCCCTTAATTATGATGATGAAGAAGGGAGAAATCTGGGAAAAGCAGAAAGTAGTTTGCAGGTTCCAAATGTTTTTCTCCTCAGAGTTTGAAGCAAGCATATCTCAACCCTGAGAGCTGTACAGGTGAGCTTGTCTGCAGTACTGTGCTGCTTTTGTGTACATGCTAAACCATGACACAAATGCATTAAAAAATATTGAGCCCTGTCCCCACAGTGCCGAGCAAGAATCTTTACTTTTCCTTGTCTCATCAGGTATCAGCTAAATGAGACAAAATATGATTTTAAAGCTGCAAATATCAACACAGAGCTCTGAAAATCATCTCTAAGAATGTGGAATGGAATTTCTTTTTTTACTGTGCTCCAGCTCATGATGCAAGTTTCGTGTTAGGAAACGAGAGATTATTCACAATGATGAAAATGACCCGGCACTTTTTGATGAAGGACAGTCAGCAACAGAATAGTCAAGCAAGTTTACAAGATGTACCTTCTAAATAGCACCAGGCACTGGAGAGCTCATCTGGTGTGCTCACTCAGGGTCAAATATCAAGCCAAGTCCTAGCTTATCTGGGACAGGGAAACCTAAGGCAGAGGGCTGTGGGAAAATGGAATAATCTACTAACAGGGCAGCTGAAAGAACTAGAAACTCTCCCTGCTTCTATCAAGTTCCTTAGTCACATCTAGGTGAGATACCTACATGTCTGGCTTATGGTTTCTTGCTTTTAGACACCTGGTAGGAGACATTTAGTTATAGATTTATAGAAGCACCCAGCACTCAGAACAGCAAATGAAGTCTGCTACATCAATTAGTTAAACCATAAAGTATTCTGAACAAATGCCAGAGCCAAAGGAGTATTCAAAGAAACTTCATCAAATTGTAATAAAAAGTTCCCAGTTCCCTGGAAATAGTAGCTTCTCACCTTTAGGCACACTGTGGTGATAAACAGTCAGAGGCTCCAGGGAAGCCACCCCAGAAAACCTCATGCAGAAGCTGTCAGCTCCGAATTCAGCACAGTGTCTGGGTGATAAATGGGGCTCCCAGTCACACACTTGGTCCAGGAAATGCAGAGACCAGCTTCATTCCCAGACACTGTCCTGGGTTTACACTGAATGAGGCACTAGTCCTGTGGGAAAAGTAGTATGCAGCCAAACAATTAAATCATGTCACATAATACACATTGGGTGGGGGAAGGGAAAAGGGGGCCAAACCATCCCTCCAATTGCAGCCTTAGGTCTGGATTTGTCCAGCATTTAAGAGTTTAACTTTGTAAACCTGGGAGGGTTCTTTCCATATTTTTAAAAG